AATTTAATATATGGGTTGTGACCTACTCATATGTTTTTATAGTAAATTTAAGTATCGAACTGGTATCAAAGTGATATTGAAGTGGTATCGTTAGAAGCCCTAGTTTAAGTCAACTAAATCCTTTAAAGTATCTACTGGAGATTTTGGAATTATATCTTACTTGATCTTTAAAACTCTTGGATTTGATAGTTTGTACCAATTCAAAAATTACAGTTTCAGAGTATTTATTAAGAAGTACATACCCATATTAATTTTCTCTGTTCCTATAGCTACATGAGCTAAAGTTATAATGTAAAAAGCTGCTTACTTAATATTAATATGTGTTTAGTTTTCTTTTTCTCTATTTTTTTTTTATTTTCCTTTAAATTATATAGCCTGTCATGCAACTATCTAAACAATATATTAGTTTTAAATTTTCTTTTTAAATATAATTTAGATAGGTATTTTGATAAACTGGTTTTTAACTTATATATTATGAGAGATATAGGTTCTTGCTCATAATTATATTTTAGTATATATGTATAATAAAGAACTAATATTTATCAAAAAAAAAAATACTTGTTTTAAACTAATGTTTTTAAATATAATTTAAAATAAATAAAATTGTTCTTTTTAATATGTACTTGTTTATAAAGATTAATACTAAAAATTATTGCTTGTAATTTATTATTATAATTATATATACTTTTTATTGAAATTATTTTAAATATAAAATTTATCATGTTATAAAAATCATTAATTGATTTTATATTATTTTTTTATTTTTAAATTGTTTTTTTGATTTTTTATATTGATTTATTTTTTTTTAATTTAAATATATATTTTTAATAAATGTATTATTTTTTAAAACTATATTTTAATTAATTGTCTTTTTTTTTTCTATTATTGTTTTATAAACTTTTAAATAAATTAGAATTTTATTAAATTATATTTTATTTAATCATATATAATTATTTGATTTACTTATATATTTATAAATTAAAAAAAAATTTTTTTAATTTATCAAATAATTAAGAAAGTTTTATATAGCATTAGTTTTAAATTTAATTTATTACAAGTTATAAATTCATAAAACATTATAATAATAATTATTATAATAAATTTTTAAAAATAAAATTTTAATAAAGAAAAATAAATGAATAAAAGTTTTTAATAAACAAAGATTTATAAAAATATTTTTATATTTTTTAATATTCTATTTTTATATTTAATATAAATAATAATAGAAAATTTTAAAAACCAATTTTAAAATGTTTTTTTATTTATTATATAAAAAAATTATTTATTTTATATAAAATATACTGTATATTAATTTAATTATAAAATAAAAATTTTTTTTTTGTTTTTTAATATTAAATTAAATATTTTTTAGAAAAACTTTATTAATTATAAATATTATCTTATTACTATAAAATATGAGTGACATCTGACTTCAATATTTGTTGAAGTCCTATTTTCCCTTTGCGTCACTCGTACACTCATATACACCCTAAAAAATTTGAATTACCTATTTGATGAGCAAATTCAATTCGTTTTTTATTGGTTTCATCTTTATTAATTGCAACTCTATTATATTGAATGGTCTATTCATAACTGTAGTAATTTTAATTTGAATAACGTTGAATTTACGATTTTCATACATTATGTGTTATGTAGATGTAGCACATTGATTCAAATCTATATATGCGAGACAAAGGCATGTAATCTTGTACAAATTCCTGATGTTAATATAATATTAAATACATTTCAAACCAATTCCGGTTTTAGAATTTAATGATCGGTTGTATCACGCAAGTTGTCTATCGTCATGATCGTCATTGACCATGACTCGAAAATAAATCCGATAGTTATCAAATCTTTTACACACATTGTGAATGCTTTATGAGGTTGAAAAAAAATATATATTTATTTAATATTTATTGTATCATTCAGAAGAATCGATTTAATTTTTTTTTCTTGTTCCAGCCAAGAAAGATAACTTAAAAAAGACAATAAAGTCATATTTGTTTTCTTTTTTTCCATTGAAATAAATCAATAATCTAAATGAATTATTTTCATACACTCTTATCTGACTGTGCTATATGTAAAAAAATGCTGTAATAAAATATACATAAAGGATAGATAGATATAAATAATAATAATAACATCGTTCAGCTTTTAGTTACTTGTTCCTGATTGATTCCAGGAGAGTGAACGTTCATTGGGGGTAATGGTGGAATTGGAGATCGTGCCATAGGAGGATCAATAGGAGAAGCTGTTTGCTGTTGGTGTTTTGGTTGATCTCGACTGTGATGTTGGGGATGACTAGGAGAAGGATTATTGTGAGAGACTACTGGCGTACTAACACTTCTTGGTTTCAATACATTCATATATTTCTTCGCAGGATTTTCTTGATTCCTTTGCACTTTTTGTCTTAAAGCCTCCATCACATATTCGTGATCAACTTCACTTTCCGAATTGAGTTTAGGACGCTTATTGTTACCATTTATGGTGGTTGGACTTTGAGTATAACGGTGATGCGTCTGGGATGATGCGGAATGTGGATGATCATGTACACTACTGGTAGGAGTAGAAAATGAATGTTGGCTATGCATAGTAGTTGGTGATGACGTTATGATTGGAAATGGAGGAATAGAAAGCGTTAAAGAGGGTCTTTGACTGGCGGAGTTGTAGGAATGATTTTGTGAGGAGATCCCATTATGATTGTAGGATATACTATCATGTCCGTTGTTAGCGGATGATGGTGGCGACAGGCGTGTTGCACTTGTCGGTGTAGTAGCTGGAAAATGAGTATCTAATATGTGTATAAGCAGATATTAACATGAAGTAAATAAACTCTTGAAATCGATCATGATCTTACTAACCAATGGGCGGAGGTATCGGTAGATATGGACTATGAATATCTGACGGAGATTTTCTGCATTATTGTGAAATGAAATTTTCCACTTGAGATTAATTGCACTGTGTCTGAATATTTGGAAACCCAACCTCGATAGTAAATTTTTAAATCTTACGAATTAAAACTAGACGAAGTATTAATTGCTAAATAAAAGAAAGATCAAAAGTGTCAGATTGATTTTGCTAATTTGTAAAAAAGAATAAAAAATTAAAGATCCCGCATTACGTGGAACTCCTGTAAAAATTGTGGGAGGTTTCTTCTGTTCTTTTAACATTTCCAATTCTACTTGTTTGCATTGCAAACGAAGTGCTTCTGTTTTATGCTTCTCTTCTTCAGCACGTCTCTATGTTCGACAAGAATATGAAAGTTAAATGACTGCTCGGATCACTCTTAATTTGAAATATGTATCTACGATTGGTTTCAACGAAAGAAAAATGCAGACATCTCTGTTGCAACGGGATTTCATACACCATGAAAGTGAAGAAACTTTGTTCTGTGAGAAAAGACTTAATGAAATTCTAAATTCTTACCTTATCTTCTTCGGCCTTGGCTGTGAGAATCTGCCTCAACAGATCATTGTTATCACGATATGTTTCTAGTATTTCACGGAGGGATATATCTGTTTTTTGAATTTTAGTTGCTGGTGAAGGATATGAAAAAGCCGAACTTCTTAAGTCTGACATTGCAGTTATATGCTTTAGAGCAGAATACTAAACGAAGATAATATATTTCCAGGAAAAAGATGAATTAAGTAATAGATGTCTTTAAAATAAATTGTTGACTTTATAGAAAGGTAAAATTTTTCTTATATGCATCTTTGGTCAGAAAGTACAATCAAGTTACCAATCGAGTTGAATGAACATGCTGAAGCGTGACACAATCATCTATAAAGTAAATTATAAAGTATTACAGTATAAAATGAAGCATAAATATTTTTCGGTTTCCTTACCGTGACGCTAATTTATGTCTAAAATGGTTCCATTGGCTATTTATTAACCAATCACTCTTGGATGGATTAATTTTAATTCAAATTTATATTATATAAAACTTGCTTACAAATTTAATATAAATTTATAATAAACTGCATCTTAATTAACTAAATTAAAATGCATTGTTTATTATTATTATTTTTTTTTGTAAGTTTATTAATTGTAAAAAATATAAAATTTTATACTTAAAGAAAGTAACAACATCTTTTATATAACATGTTAAGTTAATAAGTTTAATGTTAGCTTGTCTATATTAATTGACTAAGCAATAAAAAAAAATATATTAAAATCTTATATACTGTATTATAAAAGATATCAAGCAATTATGAATACCTATTCAAAGTTAAGGATTATAATAAATTAAATTAAATTAGATTTTAACAAATTTAATTGATTTGTTTTTTAAATACAGTATAAATTTATATTTGAATTCAATTTGGATTTAATTTTATTTGATTCAATTTGTATTTGCATCTGATTTAATTTAATTTGATTTAATTTGATTTATTTTATTAATATATATAATTTTTTTAAATTTTTTTTTATAGATAAACATTATTTTTTTATTTGATTTGTATATATCAAGGTATACATTGTAAAAGAAAAAATATCTCTTATATATAAATATAATGGGTTAAATACTAGCTTGCCTACAGTAACCATTTGACTAATATTAAAAAGAAAATTTAAAACAATATATCTTGTCAAATAATACTGAGTAGCTATAAATACTTACTCAATATTAAAAAAAAAGATATTGGATAATTGAGTAATAGTGATATTAATTTTTGAATATATTTGAAGTAATTATATTTATATTGGATAAATATATTAGCAACTATATTAGATAGATTGATTATAATTTCTTTAAGAAAAGTAATGGTTGATTAAGTTTCGATTTAAGAGTTGTAATTATTGTTTGATTTGAAAGAGTAAAATGAAGTAGAAGACTTATTAAAGTTTCATTTGATTCCAATAAATGGTGATATATTGGCTATAAAGCAGCATAGTTTTCAAATAAGATTATATAGTTGGTTATAACTTTGTTAGTTGCCTCAATCCAGTTGGAAAAGTCTAATATGAAAAAGATTTTATTGATGAAGCTATAGGATAGTTTGACTACTTGCCATTGTTATGAGTATTAATAGTACTATTTTTAGATTATTATTTTATAGTATTATATTATTTTATTATTTCTATTATTAGTTATTTAGTATCTATAGCATAGCGAATAGATATGACATTTTGGCCAGATATGACTGATCAGCCTGATCGACCTGACTGACCTAATTGACCTGATCAGACAGAATAGTCTAAATGACCTGAGCGACATGATTAAGGATATCAAGCATATCTGACTGAGCTGGCATATCTTGTTGCTTATTTATATTTTAGTTTTATATGTTTCAAACATATATAAATAGGACAGCTATTCTTCTCAACTGTTCAAGGAATTTCCTAACTCTTCCCAACTCTCTCTAATAAAATCTACCTTGAACCCATAACCAAATCACTGTGCCTCTTGCCTTGAAAATAAACCTTACCCAATTCCTTTACCTTACCAACACTAGTATATCACAACTGAGACTATTTTCCTCTAAATTAAGTGGTTCCCTGCTACTGTTAACCATTGATCTATTTAATTTTAAGGTTTATTAAATAGGTTAACAAATTGGTGGTGACTGTGAGATCTTGATCTGTGAGATTCAGTTCATCATGTGACTAATAAGAAACTACTGAAGGTGAATCTTAAAGAGAAATTGGAAAGGTTTTATTCAGTATTGAAAGTATTTACAGCAAAAAAGGAGTCTGTAATTCAGAATCCAAAGTTTAACAAAGAAAAGCCAGTAGAAGATTCATGGTAGATTACCAAATATTTGAATGCATCACCAATGAACATGATCAAGTACATCAAGATTATTTAGAACTAAGTAAAGAAGCAATTTAACAAAGACAACCAGATGAGTCCTGTACTATTTGCTTTCCCTCTATTGAGAACTATAATCTTTATTTCACCCACTTTTGGAATTGGTTCTATATTACTTTTCCAGCCACCTGATATTCATTCAAAACTTATCATTATTTTATTCAATACTCTAGCACTCTATTTCCTTCTCCTATTATTATTGAAAGATTAATTCTATTCATCAGATATTCTGAACCCATTCACCTTGATAGAGTAGCTACTGAAACTCTTACCACTTTTAATATCTATAGTAATTTTATATTTGACCCTGCAGATATAGACATTATTGAACATTCTCCTTCTCTTAATATTCCTTATACTATCCAACCTATTGATAACGATTTATTTGAGGAATCGAGCTCAAACTCATTTGAACCAATTCCAACTATCCCTATTATTACCTTGAAATTTCATATTTCAATTATTTATACAATCAAGAAGAATTACATTTGGATTTATTATTTTTGGAAACAAATACAATGGTTAGCACAAATGATGTTCTCAACTATTTGAAGGCCAATACTTAACAAACTATCCTAGGAATAGAGACCTTTACTGGCAATGGAACTCAAAATCCAATTACATGGCTCACTGCCTTTGAAAAAGCTACCAAAGTTAACAATTGGAATAGTGAAAAACTATTGCGAATGCTTAATAGACACTTACAGGATGAAGCTGAAGAATGGTGGTTAACTTACTATAAGGACAACAAAAACGATAATAATGCTATGAAATGAAAAAACATTTCTGAATCATTTATGGAAGAATTCTGTACTCAATTATGGATTAACAAATGAACTAGAGATTTGGAACAGTGAAAACAAGAATCAACCGAACCAGTCAGTTTATACTATATTGCTTTCAAGAGATTAATCAAAAGAGTTGATGTAGCTGGTGAAATGAATGACAAACAAAAACTCCAATACTTCATCTAAGAATTATTACCTTATTTGGCTCCAATAATCACTATAAGAGAACCAACCACTATTGAACAAGCCATCAAATATGCTCAACTATATAAGTTTGGACAAAATATCAATAATTATGAGGAACCATCAATACGACCATACAAATCTAATTCCTTCAAGACTTCTGAAGACTCTGTGGATTATTTGATTAAAAAATTTGAAAAGATGCAATTGAATCTTGTTAAATGAATTAAACTCTTATCTGCTCAAGTGGAAAAGCAAAAGCAATAAACAAATAAGCCATGGAGAAACCCAAAGATAATTTGCTTTAAATGTAAAGAACCTGGACACATCGCACATGACTGCTTATCTAAAAAGGCCCAATCAAAGATATAAACCTAGGCGACCAATTAATTATTTGACTATAGAAGAATTATTAACCTCTAATGATAACGATGAAAAAGTATATATAGGACAACGAGAAAGACCACCATATTTGATTAACAGAAGAGAAGCCAAAGAAAAACAAAAAATCAAGCAATCTGAGTCCAATAAGGAACTTAACCTATGAACTAGGAAGATTACAGCTAAACCGCAACCAATGGAAATTGAGAAGTCAGGTCCAGAAGATAATGTTTCACCGATAGTGATTAAAACCAAATGATCACGAACGAAGTCTCAACCTTTAGTAATTGACAAATTACAATTATATAATATTGCCGATAATCTCTTGAAATTGAAATCTTCAGCAACATTGGAACAAATGCTACAATATCCCAATCAACGAAAAAATTTAGACAAAATCTTGAAACAACCCAAGCAAGCAGTGGAAACCAATTATATATCAGACAAAGATCAATTCAGAACTACCGCAGCCAAATGCTACATCCGAATCAAAGAAACTCCAGTCATCACAATTCTAGGTTCCGGTGCTGCCATCAATATTATTACCAAGAAATTAATGGATAAGCTTTATTTGGAACCTGATGCACCATCCAAAACAACTGTTATAACAGCAAATGGAAATCGAGTACGAGCTCTAGAACAAATCATGAATTTGAAAATAGCAATTCAAGATGCTGTCATATTAGTCAAGCTACAAGTCATCAAATCCAGTGATGAAACACTTCTATTGGGTACTAATTGGTTAGGACAAGTAAAAGCCAATTGGGATTTTAATCAACGTACATTGCAGATCTCTCACAAAGAATGCAAATTGAAGATTGTAACAACTCACCTGGCACATGAACCATTAGAATTATTAAGTGATGATGATGAGCAAAATGAGAACCAACTACTGGAAAAAATCAAATATGATTCAGAAGAAGATTTGAAAAAACAGAAAGCATATATATCAGATATAGTCTATGAAAAAGAAGAAGAAAATCCTGCAATTTTTCTTACGGAAACATCAAAAGACGTTCAAAAGGATCCACTTGAAGTTATACAAGGCATCCTAACTGAGAAGCAGCAAAATGATGTATAACAATTATTGAAAGAAAATCAAGACATATTTGCCAACATTATCTTAAAGGAAGGATAAACTAGTAACTTGGGGAGAACAAATGAAATAACACACTGCATTAATACTGGAGATGCAATATCAATTAAGCAACGATTATATAGAGCCTCTCCTGATTAACAAGAATTTATTAAAAAGAAAATTGAAGAAATGTTACAACAAGGGATCATCAGTTCCACTACCAGTCCTTGGTTATCTCCTATAGTAATTATACCCAAGAAAAATGGAAAATTCAGATTCTACGTAGACTATAGAAAACTGAATACTGTAATTGTCAAGAATGTATATCCAATGCCAATTGTGGATGACTTATTGAAGACGTTTA